GCTCCAGGCTTTCAATAACTACTGTAATATGGGCCAATCTTTGTTCTCTCGGCTGATTAAGTTGGGAGTACCAAACATCCAGCTTGACGCCCAAGGTCGTGCTCGGCCTTCACTTGCTCGACTCTACAGTTGGCGTTATCTCAACCTTACAGACTTGTCACACACTCGTATTGAAGCCCAATATCGCTTGGCCAATCCGGGATTTCAGTTTGAATCGCAGCTGATCAACGTTGACGACTTCCGAGGTAGTTGTCTTTCAAAGCGCGCTAACCTATCTCTGTTTTATTGCCGGTGCATCCTTAGCTTAAAAAGCTGTGATTTGCCTCATACGTACTACACTGAGACCTATTAGTTAAATTTGGATGAGCGAAATTAATATAGATGTATGTATGAATGTGAGTGTCCAGCTTATTATCTCTGAGAGCATGATCGGGTTGCTAAAACGATGCTAGACCACTTCTATACATCGAAAGGAACTGCGACCAAAACACAGACCACAATATCCTGGTCTTTATATCTACGGCTAATCTATACTATTTTTGAAGGGTAACATATCTTCTGAGCACGTTAGGAGATGTGAGCAGAATACAATCATGAAAGATCATATCCATCATAATTACACATACATTACTAGTTTCTATTTCACTCTCAAAGTTTGTGTTATTTCGTGCTTCATTTTTTTTGCTTTCCATTAAGGGCTTTCGCTGTCTATATTATGCTTATTGTCTTAATATGCTAATCGTGTCTATTATTTGTCTCAATGTATTGCTTTTATGTCTTTGCTAATAGAAGTTTATCATAATTTTTGCTTCGCGGTTATTCTTTTCTAAGTATTGTCTTCTCTAACTGATCTCCGTCTTTTTAAGTTGCAATTATCTGTCTTGTTGTTTGTGAATGATATAAATACTTTCCTGAGATTGTCCTTAAATTCAATACACTATTAAAAACCATCATGTTTTTATAAAATCTCACGCAATACATTCAAAAAATTTTTTTTTCAGGCATAGGAGAATCTGAGCCAAATCCCTTCTTCTATCAAAATCTCGCTGAGGCCGAATATGTAGTAGCAACCTATATGTATATGCGTGTTCTCGGCTACCCATCCGATAGAATCACTATTCTGACTACTTATAATGGTCAGAAACATCTTATCCGTGACGTCATTTCGACTCGCTGTTCAAAGAATCCGCTTCTGGGCGAACCTAGCCTAGTGACAACGGTCGATCGATTCCAGGTACTTTTCGTTTTTCGAGGTATCTAGTTATTTACTTTTTCTCTTCATTCTCTTTAATTTGTATTATTTTGCGGCTATAACCCTTTTCATGATATATTTTATGCTGATATTCATTTCATCCTTTTGAAGGACGTCTTAGTAACGCAACTGTAACAAATCTAATCTATGCATTTCCCCTTGATCTTACGATAATTTTTCTTTAAATTGCATTTAGCTTAAGCGTTTCCTTGAGATATGGAATTTTCTGCCAGGGATTATTTATTTTTCGAGAAAAAATTCCACTGTAGTTGCAATCATGTTTTTCTAAAAACGTGAATTATTATTAGTATTCCTATTATTAGATGTGACGCGCTACTCAGATCCATTTCATTTTCTTAGCTTACTAAAATCCTTTTGTATCTGAACCATTTTGTATAATGGCTAAGGGGTTTACATGGGAAATAGATCCCTCTCCATAGTAAATTTTTTTTACAGTTTGTTATTTTTTTAAAATTAACCAAATCTGACGCTTTATGAAGGCGATAAGTTTTAATGGCATGTTCTAAGTTTAAATGTTAGGCTAATGCACTTATTAATGCATATATCCGGAGCTCAA